CCGCCCGCCCGCCCGCCACCACCGCCACCATCATCGACCATGTGCCCAGAGCCAGCCATACGGACGGCCACGCACATGCACATGCGCATGCACCGGGCCCGGCCTTGTGTTAACCTCTGCCAATCCCCCCGGCCCCCGGGTCCCAGTCCACGAGCGAGCGTGCGCGTGAGCGTGAGAGAGCGAGAGCGAGTGCCATGGCCACCTCCCACCAGCGCCCCGGCGTGGCGACCCCCGCGGCCGGCCCCCAGCGGCGCCACCCGGCCGCGGCTCCCGGCGGCGGCCCCGCCCCCGGCGGCGGCCCCAGTACCAAGGTCCCGGTCTTCGCCACGGTGTCCGCCCGGCTGGACCAGCTGCTGAAATCCTGCCCCACCATGACCACCCTCAGCGGGGACCCCAACACCTGGTCCTCCCTGCCGGTGCAGCAGACCACCACCAACCTGAGCATCTCCCCGCACCAGTACATGACTGTCTATGATGAGATCTTCCACCACTGCACCAGCGCCGGCACCGGCGCCCACGGCCAAGACGCCGGCATGTCCAACTGTGCGTGCACCTGTGGCGCCCCCCCCCCCCCTCCCTGTGGGGGCGCTGCTGCCGCCTCCCCACCACGCCCTGCCGCCTTTCCCCCTTTCTCCTTGCCGCTTTCCGCCGCCTGCCGGAACGGGCCACCCTCCGCGGGGCCCCTCCTGTCTGCCGCCTTTCTGACCTCCGACCCCGCCGACCCCGCCGACCCAGCCGTTCACGGAACCTCGGTCGCCGGGAATGACATCTACATGCATGTGCGCAGCCACCTGGTCGATCACTTGGCCCGGCACATGCTCCCCCGGGCGCTGCACTATCTGGCCATGGACGACCCGTCCTTCCAGGTGCCGACCGATCTGCTGAGCCTGTGCCGGTCGCCGATCCCCGCGCCGGTCGGCGATGACATCCCGGCCACCGGCGGGGCCCTGCTCAACTTCTATGCCGTGGCTTGGCGGCACTTCTGCGCGGCCACCCTCATCGCCAATCGCATGCTCAACTACCTCAATCGTTTCTACGTGCCCTCGCGCAGTGACACCGACCGGTCCATCTGCCCGATCAATGCGGTGCGTTGCCGCCCTGCCGCCGCTCGCCGGCCCACACACGCCCTGATGCGCGCCGCCCCTATGCATATGTCCCTGTGCACACACGGAGCCGGCCGCCAGAATCCACCGTCTCCCTCGCGCCCGTGTACCCCCCCCCCCCCCCCAACTGACACCCGTCGCCCGATTCCCACTCCTTAAGCTGGCTATCAAATGCTGGAACACCTACATCCTGGAGCCCCTGCGGCTGCGCATCACCAACTACATCCTGCTGCTGATCCGCAAACGTCGCGATGGCAACCAGGCCGTCAACATGCGCCTGGTGAAGGACGTCCTGTCGAGCTTCTGTTCGTGTCCCCGTACCGCCGCTGCCGCTGCCACCACCACCGCCACCACCACCGCCACCACCACCGCCACCACCACCACCACCACCACTACTACTACTACTACTACTACTACTACTCCGCCCCCTGGCCCCCACTCACCTCTCTCCCCACCCCTCGACCCCCATGCACACACACACACACACACACAGACGACGTCTTCTTCGACGAGCGCAACGACCGCACCGTTCCCGATGCGTATGTCATCTACTTCGAGCAGTTCTTCATCCAAGACACCGTGGAGTACTACACCCGCGAGGCGCGGGCCTTCGTGGATGGCGTCCACCACCAGGCCACCGGCGGGACGGCCGCCACCTCCCCCTCGGACACGGGCGCCCCCTTCGTGGGGGCCTCCTACCGCCAGGCCCTCGGAGGGGTGGACACCCCGACGGCCAGTGCACTGGCCGCCACCACCGGCATGGCCAGCATGTCCGTGGACCCGGTGACCGGGGCCGCCGCCGCCGCCGCCGCCGCCGCCGCCGCCGGGGCCGACCATGGGCCGGGCAGCGCCGCCGAGCCGCTTCTCCCGGGGGCCACGGCCAGTGCCGTGGCCGCGGCCGCGGCCGACCCCCAGCGCCGCAACATGACCGACTACGCGCGGCACGTCCGCATGCGCCTGGCCGAGGAGGATGTCCTGGTGCGGGATTTCCTCGATCCCCAAGGCCAGGCCGGCACCGTGGCCAAGATGTACATCCACCTGAACACGGTGCTCATCGCCCCCTTCAAGGAACTCCTGGCCGACGAGCTGGGCGCCCTGCTCCCGACCCAGGGCGAGGCCGACATCAAGCTCATCTTCGGCCTGCTCAGCCGGCTGGAGGAGGATGCCGGCATCGATGCCATCCGCCCGGTCATCGAGGAGCACATCCGCGTGGAGGGCATGGACGCCGTGCGCCGGATCGAGCACCTGACACTCAAGGTGCGCACACCCACGCGGCCAGGCGGCCGGCCCCAGGCGGGGGGGGGGGGCTCTTCCTCCAGTCCGCCCCCCCTGCCTCGGTCCTCCCCTCTCCACACCTGCCGCGCCGATGCGTGCTCTCCTTTCGTGGTCGCACGGGCCGCCGGCGATGCCCCCTCCTCCTCGGGCAGAGGCCCCCTTGCTTCGCTCTGCCGCCGGCCCTCGCCCCGCCAGCCTGTTCTCTAACCGCCCTTCTTCCCTGCTCCCCTCCCCCTCCTCTCTTTCTCTCCCCTGCCCCCTTTGACTCTCGCCTCAGCCCGGGGCCAAAACTCAGGACCCCCAGCACTATGTGAATGCTCTGCTCCAGACGTACGAGACCTACAACCGCCTGATCCGGGTGTGCTTCTCCTCGCACCCGACCCTGGTGGCCTCGCTCGAGCGCACCATCCGCAAGGTCATCAACCACAATGTGGTCGCCTGTCCGGGGTCCTCGGCGCCGGCGACCGCCGGTGGGGCCGCCGACGCCGGGCCGGCCGCCGGTCGGGCCCGGCAAAACCGCTCTCCCGAGCTGGTGGCCCAGTATATTGATCATCTGCTGCGGCCGCCGCAGCAGGCTTCCTCCTCGTCCTCCTCGGCGATGGCCGGGCCAGGGGGCCTGGCCGGCGCCGCCGCGCCCCTGCTCAGCCCCCTGGACGAGACGGCCCTCATGGAGAAGATCTCCAAGATCATCGCCTATGTCTTTAAGTACATCGAGGATAAGGATGTCTTCGAGCAGAAGTACCGCCGCGGTCTGGTGTCGCGCCTGGTGAACAAGCTCTCTTTCAACGAGAACATCGAGAAGATGATCGTGTCCATGCTGAAGGTGCGTGCCTGTGCTTTGGCTGCCTCCGCTCCCTCCCGTCCCCGGCTGTGCGGCGTCGGAGGGCGGGGGGCCTGGAGAGCCTCCCCCGCTGTATTGTGCCTGTGAAGAGGGGGGGCGGGGGGGGGGGGGGGGGGGAATGTTGCCCGTATGGAAAAAGCCATCGAAGATGAAATCCCATTGTACTGACCAGAGCCCGCTTGCTCCCGGCCTCGCCCCTGCCCCGCACCGCACCGCACCGCACGCGCCGGCTGTGTGCCACACGTCAGGATGTCTGTGGTGGCACGTACATCGGCAAGCTGAAGCTCCTCCTCAACGAGGAGGATCTCAGCCAGAAGCTGTACAAAAACTTCCGCGCCAGCTTCGGGGGCACCGAGCAGCCCGGCGGCAAGTCCGAGCACCAGCTCCAGCAGACGGCCGCCAGCCCCGCCTGGATGGCCATCCCCCAGATCGATGTGCTGGTCTTCGACACGGAGATCTGGCCCTTCTCCATCCAGAACCTGGACATTCGACTGCCCCCGGCGGTGCGTGCGCTGGCAACAGCATGTGCCACAGCGCGAGGGACAGGCGAGGGGGGGCGCGCGCGGAGCGTGGCTGGCCAGAGAGCCAGGTCACTCTCCTCCCCCCCCCCCCCCCCCCCCCTGGCCTTGGGATCTGCTCTGACTTTGCCTCGCACCATGCCGCCTCTCTCCCCACACGCCTGCTCGCGTGCCACGCGACACGCCCGCCAACTGCCCGTAGCTCGCCTCATTCATGGAGCAGTTCGAGGAGTTCTACAAGACAAACAACTCCGGCCGGGCCCTCAAGTGGATGCTCGGCAACAGCAAGACCGACCTGGCGTTCACGCCGCGTGCCAGGTCTGGGGACATGCTCTCGGCCCCGGTCCCGGATGTCGAGGCCGCGCCGCCCTTCACCACATACTCCCTGTCGATGTCCACGCAGCTGGCCACCGTGCTGCTGCTCTTCAATGCCCCGAGCAATGGGCCGGCCTGGACGGTCGAGCGTGTCAGCGCCGCCACCGGCATGGACCCGGCCAACACTTCACATATTCTGGAATACCTGGTCAGCACCGCCATGATTCTCCTGTGGGGGAAGGCCGATGACGGCCAGGTGACTTGCAAGGTTAATTCGAATTTCTTCATGTACGTACATGCGCCCGCATGTGCCCGTGCCTGCCTCATTTTCCCTGGGCCTCCTTCCTCTGGTCTCTTCCTTGCTCTGTCTATGTGTGTTTGTGTGTGTGTATGCCTGTGTGCGACAATGCCCCCAGATGCATGGGTGCACATGCTGGCATGTCTCACAAGGCAGCGAGCGTGGGCAAGAGAGCGTCGACACAGGGAAAGCAAAGAGCAAGCTCCGTGCCAATCGGAGGCCCAGGGACGCGCACAAAGTGCATGGAGATTGACTAACAGGCTGCATTGCAACACTTCCTCCCCCTGTCACGCACACACGCACGCACACACACACACACACACACACACACACACAGGAACCGCCCCCGGGGCCAGCTGAGCTTCTCCTCCCCAAAGAGCATCGGCGCCTCCGCGGCAGCCGCCTCCAGCGACATGGCCGACACCGAGGCATCGGCGGTCGACGCGTCGACACAGCGCGATCGGGCCCAGCTGGTGGAGCTGGCCATCGTGCGCGTGCTCAAGCACTCGGATACCCTCTCCTGGTCCGGGCTCAAGGGGCTGGTGGATGCCCAGCTGGAGACGCGCTTCCGCGTGGACCCATCCCTCTTCAACTCGTCACTGGACGTCCTCATCCAGAAGGAGTTCATCGCCAAGGCCACCCCGATTGCCGGCGACCGGACCGGCGACCCGGACGACGTGGACGCCGACGTCGGGGGGGAGGACATTTTCAGCTATCTTGTGTAGAGGGCCGGGCACCCCCGCGCGCGCACACATGCGCGCGTCTGTGTGTGTGCTCGTGCCGGCGAGACGGCGGCAGCCAAGAGGAGAGGGGGGAGGGTGGCCAGGGGAGGCCCTCTGTGTGGGAGGGGGGGGGGGAGGGGGGGAGGGCGGGGATCCGGCTTGGCTGTGCGCTCGCCTTCCGCCCCGCCCCCTCTCCCACCTCTCTGGCCCTGCGCGGTGCCGGCTCGCCGATGTATGTATATTTTTTTCAACAATAATATCCCTTTCTGTGTCGGACACATATGTGCGCACGCACCTTTTTTTTTTCCGCCCCGGTGACCACATCCGCGCATGAGGGGAAGGGCCTCCCCGATATTGGCCGGAGGTGCTGGCGACATTCCTTCGCCGCCAAGAGGTGGCCGACGCCCCTCCTGCCTTCTATTCCGTGGGTTCCGGCGGCGGAGAAGGGGGCGTCCGTCTGGTGTGCAGCGGCTGGGCCCAGCATGCGGTCCCTGCCCCTCTCGTGTCGCCTCCCCCGGGCATGGGGACAGGGAGGGCTTGGCGCGGCGGGCAACGGCAAGAGGGGCCCATGTGGCTGGACCCCGGCGCGCATCAGGGTGCTCGGTGTGTTCTCCTCCCGCCGCCCGGGGGGGAGGGGGCAGGCGGAGGCGTTGGAACCGGGACGGCCCGGCTCCGGGAGAGACACCGCGGCGACAAAAGGCTGCGCCGCTGACAGGTGAAGTATATCCGGTTGGATGGCCGAGTGGTTAAGGCGCCAGTTTAAGGCACTGGTGGGAAACCGCGTGGGTTCGAGTCCCACTCCAATCAAACATTTACTTTTTTGCCGCCCAGACCCCTTTCTGCCCACTGTGCCACCCGTGTCGGGTGTGCTGGGGGGGGGGGGGGGGGGGG